CGTTCTTTTCCATACTGACCTGTGGTACCCATTTTGGAGAGACAAAACTGGTGGCTTCTATAACGGAGAGACCAGTCTCTGACAACATGTCGATTAAGTCAATTTTCACCTGGGTGGGAACAATATTCTGAAAAGAGAGAGATAATTCCCCTTTTAATAGCAATTCTATAATGGTATTTCCTTATCGACATTTAGCTGTTGGCTGAATTACTACATTCTATAATATTTCCCATTTTTTTGCTTCTTTATGCTATATTTCCCTAACCGTAGATTTTTAAAATGGAGCCCACAAACAGCCACACAGAAACAACATACCTATTATAATAAACAGAAACACATTTGCCGGATTTAATTTTGTTGACTTTGTGACATCAATCAGATTTGTAAACACTTCCTTTTCTCAGGTTTGCCAATGCTAGAATGGACTTTGAGACTGACCCAAATGTTTACCCATTGCAAATAAAGCTCCATTCTTGTGATTCTGCATACAGGTAAGTCCTCGACATATGACCACTCATTTAGCAACTGTGCAAAGTTAGAACAGTGCTGAAATTAGGGACTTATGACTGGCCTATGTATTTATAACCACTGCAGCATTCCCTGATTGCAATTTGGGTGCTTGGCAATCGGCATGACAAAGGCTGCAGTGTCCCAGGTCATGTGATCAACATTTACTTCCCAGTTGGTTTCCCAAAACAAAGTCAGAGAGTGAAGATTAACAACCACAACAAAAGCAGTTGTAAAATCAGGCACAGTCATGTGTAAACTCGCTTAACAACCTCATTGCTTACAACTAGTGCTCAACTTACAAACCATAATTGGGACTGGAATTTCAGTCATTTGACCACTTTTAGGGTGGTCATTAAGCAAATCACATGGTCATGTCCAAATCCACTCTCCCAAATGGGCATTTTTGGTATACACTGATTTATTGGCACATTCCAGCATATTTCAAGTAATTAAACTAATAGGAATTCTGGGAACACAGAGTGAGGGTTGAATTTTTAAGCTATGCCAGTGTTTTACCTAGGAGAAAAATCAAAACAGCAATGATGTCAAAACATTCATTTCACAAGCATAAAACCACCAAAGCCACTTATTCCAGATTTCAGCTACAAGCCAAACATAGCTTAGCAGAGGTCACTTGCCTTTTCATTCTGCAAGCCATCCCGTGGACCGACCTCCACTATTTTCACATGCTTGGGAAATGTTCCAGCGGCTGATAAACTGAACTGTAAAACAAGGGAAAGAAAAAAATGCCAATTCAGTAGACCATCTATTGTATCCTGAGGGTATCAAATGTAAGAAAAATTACTCTGCTCCTGCTGTGATTCTGCAAGAGATGCCATTTTGGTAGCGATAGGTATGTTAATATTCGTTAACCTTTCAATCTCCAGATATGTCAGATTATAACCCCTTGAGAATCATGGGGTTGCAGTTTGTCTTTAGAAGAAATCAGGTCCAGGAAGATCTTATTAACACAAGGCTGGCACTTATAATTTCAACCATTTTTTTTCCCTCCAATTTACTTTTATTCCTGAAGTAGTATAAAAAAAATTATCTTGCCATCCCAACAAAGTACAAAGCAGCTAAGGCTATTTCATGTCTACACTTTTGGAATACCGCTTCCATTCCAACTAATTTTGTTTGCAAAACAACTGTACAGGATTGGCATCCAATTACAAATGCTCCATTCAGTAGCACTGGCCAGCCTCAAGCCTCACCTTTAGAAAATAAGAAGTGCCTTGGCACAGCGATAGAGAATCCATTCTGAAGCACAAGGTCTCCAAGACAGTCTTGGCACATCCAGACAGGGCTGGGAAAGACCTTTTAGAAACCACGGACCATCACTGCCCCAGATTTCAATGCTAAACTAGAGGATCCCAAATCAAGAAGCTTTCTATCTCCCTTAGGTTGGCTCAGCAAGAAACTCCTGCCTTGCTTTCTACTAC